CCTAGTGGCCTGGAGGACCATCAGGTGAGTTGCAGCGTTTTTCTGTTGCTTTTGATTGATGCAAAATTGGCATCATTTTGTGTTTTATAAACTCAATATTTAGATATCAAGCATAAATATTTTTAACTTTGTATTTAGTTGGTTAGCTAAATGTTTAACTTGCTACATAAATATTCAGCTTCAAATTAAATATTTAGCTACTAACTAAATATGTAGTTTGAATTTGTGACATTTATGTCAATAAATAATCCTGTAATTATAAACATCAACACATAATCTGTCACATCCACATTAAACTAATTAATATTCAACACAGACGTAGAACTTTGCGCAGACTGACGGCTGAAGGCGTCAGCAGCTTTTTGCAGGAAGTTACTGATGAACTAATGGACCTCAGCAGCCAATCAGGAAGCAGCAGGTTTGACCTTTGTGCTGACCCTGCAGCATCCTCACGGCCCACCTGAAGCTGTCTCCTGACGAGCTGCGCCAGGTTCTGTTGGATCTGAGCACGGACCGGCTGGAACCGGCCCACATCAAGCAGCTGCTGCTCTACGCGCCCGACCAGGACGAGGTCCAGCAGTACCAGCGCTTCCAGCAGGACCCGGCCAAACTCAGCGAGCCGGACCAGTTCATCTTCCAGGTACCCGCGCCGACGGCCCGCCGGGCCCACCGGGCCCGGCCAGAACCCACCCTCACACTGACCGCCGGCCCGTTTCAGATGCTGACGGTTCCGGACTACAAGACCCGGCTGCGCAGCCTCCTGTTCAAAGCCACGCTGCAGGAGCGGGCCGAGGAGATGAAGGCGGCCTTTGACTATATCCACAAGGCGTCGCTGGAGCTGAAGAGCAGCAGGAAGCTGGCCAAGATACTGGAGGTGGGTCGGGACTGGACGGGTCTGCCGGTTCTGATTGGTTCTGGTTGGTTCTGGTTGGTTCTCATTGGTTCTGGTTGGTTCTCATTGGGCTGATTGGTTCTGATTGGTTCTGGTTGGTTCTGGTTGGTTCTGGTTGGTTCTGATTGGTTCTGATTGCGGCCCGCAGTTGTCCTGGCGATGGGGAACTACCTGAACAACGTCAGCCCAAGAGCCACCGAACGACGAGCTTCAAGATCAACTTCCTGACGGAGGTCAGAGCGTAACCATAGCAACAGTTTGGCTGGCCCATCAGAGAGATGACATCATTAACTCCACATTAAATATTCAGATTTCTGACTAAATATTTAGTTTGAAACTGAGACGTTTATGGACGAATGAAGATCCAAGTTATTCTAATAACTATTTCACAGTTGAGCACGACGAAGACGGTGGATGGAAATCCACGTTCCTTCACATCCTGGCCAAGTCGCTGAGTCAGCACTTCCCCGAGCTGCTGAGCTTCCCCAGGAGCTGCCCCGGTTCCTCTGGGCTAAAGGTACGCCGCCACTTCCTGCAGGTCGGTACCTCCCCGTGCGGCCGCTCAGTAGCGCCCCCTGTCTCTGTTCTGCTCCAGTCAACCAGAGGGCCGTCACCTCGGAGCTGAGCGAGCTCCACGCCGCGGCGCAGGACATCAGGACGGCCTGCCAGACGCTGCCGGCCGACGACCGCTTCGCCTCCGTTATGAGTGTACGGAAAACATATTTACCATAAAACGTTTCAGGATCATTCACACGTTCACCCATTACCAGCAAGGACAAGATCATTCATTCATTCATTCATTCATTCATTTCACTTCATTCATTCATTCATTCATTCATTTCACTTCATTCATTCATTCATTTCACTTCATTCATTCATTCATTCATTTCACTTCATTCATTCATTTCACTTCATTCATTCATTCATTCATTTCACTTCATTCATTCATTCATTCATTCATTTCACTTCATTCATTCATTCATTCATTCATTTCACTTCATTCATTCATTCATTCATTTCACTTCATTCATTCATTTCACTTCATTCATTCATTCATTCATTCATTCATTTCACTTCATTCATTCATTCATTCATTCATTTCACTTCATTCATTCATTCATTTCATTTCATTCATTCATTCATTTCACTTCATTCATTCATTCATTTCATTCATTCATTCATTCATTCATTCATTCATTCATTCATTCATTCGTTTTAGTTTAAAGATAAAGATTTAGCTATAAACTAAATCTTCAGTTTGAAGCCAAATCTTTATCTTCAACCAATTTTTATCCATCTCGCTGAACGGCGTCTGGTTTTGGTTCCGGGCCGGCCCAGCAGACCCGGACAGCAGCTGAAGTGTGTCTTCCTTCCACAGAGTTTTCTGGAGAACAGCCACCCGGCCCTGCAGTCCCTGGAGTCGCTCCAGTCCCGGGCCATGGCCGAGTTCTCCCAGGTGGCGTCGTACTTCGGCGAGGACGGCCGCTCCACCAGCACCGACTCTTTTTTCGGCATCTTTGCGGAGTTCATGTCCAAGTTTGAGGTGAGCAGCTTCCGGAACCGGCCGGGTCGAATTGGACCCGGCTCAGGCGGGAAGCGTCTCGTTTCCACCGCTTCAGTGAAACTTTGACAGATTTGCCTCAGAAGGAGCGGCTGCAGCGGAGAAACGATCGGGTCTGATGATGTGAAGTAGCCGGATAAAGGTTCTGGTTCTGGTTCTGTCTTTCAGAGAGCGCTAAGTGAGACCCAGAGTCCTGAGAACCCCCGCAGCCCGCGCCTGTCCTCCCCCCCGGCCTGGTAGGAGCCGCCGGGCCGACCGCGGCGCCAAGACTGGACCGGATCAGGCCGACCGCGGCGCCAAGACCGGACCGGGCCGACCGCGGCGCCAAGACCGGACCGGGCCGACCGCGGCGCCAAGACCGGACCGGGCCGACCATGGCGCCAAGACCGGACCGGATCAGGCCTTACATTAGGTGCTGAAACAGACGGAACTTTGCCATCTCTGTATGAAGCAGAATATTGATTGTTGTTCTCAATAATAATATTTATAAAAAATATAAATATTATTATTATTGTTGTTATTAATATTATGATATTGTAAATATTAAGTTTTATGTTAATATTCGGTTTGTTCTGTTGCTCCAATAAATTCATGTTTTCACTTCTGGAGCTTATTTTCATCATCAGATCAGATTTCAGACCTTCGCAGCCGAAGCATAGACTTCACCAGATAGACTGGACCAGTTTTCTGGAGGAGCTGCGGTCCAGATTAAGTCCAGATTAAATCCAGATTAAGTCCAGATTAAGTCCAGATGATTGTAGATTTAATCCGTGCCGATCAGACGGCGAGTAAAGTGGATATTTATTACGTTAAATTGCTTTTATTTTGTAAAGCCGATAAACGTTTTTCATCCCTTCAGTCTGTGATCCGTTCAGATCCGTTTGGTTTCAGGTTATTGATCATCTTGAGTCCAGATATTTGCCGCTGCCTGCTGGGTTACCTGGTAACCATGGCGACCCGTCCTGCTTGTTGGCTCCGCCCCAAAATCCGTTTATTTTCTTATGAAACTTTTTCTTGTTCTGCGGCTTCATGAGGCGGCATGACATCACTTCCTGTTGGGATGTGCCGCTGGCTCTAGTTCCAGTAAGGTTCTGTTCTGTGCTTCTCAAAGCTTTTCTGCTTTAAATAAACTTCATGTTTTGGATTTTGACTCTTTACATTTATTCTCCGGTTCTGACCCAAAGCGTCAGAACCGGGTCAGTCCTGTGCAGTTGTGGTTTCCAGCAGAACTTTGATTCTTTTCAGAAGAACTTCTAAAGGATTCAGTTCACAGGAATCCATCCGCTGAAGCAAGTTGGTAAATTATGCAGATTTTTTATTGAACATTTAATGTTAATCAATGATCTGTTAGAAATACAAAGATTCAAATAAATTCAAAATAATAAATATTGAACAGTTTTGGTTCAACTAATCAACGATTGAGTTCATTGATTATTTGAATAACTGATTTCAGGCCCAGATAACTCATCCTTTAATAAGCAGTGTTGTAATTTTTCCATATTTTTATGGTAATAAAAACATTTCCTGATGGTTCTGATCAGAAACAAGCAGAACGTTTGACCTTCATATACTTTATTTCCTTGAGAAACTTCAACATTACAGGATTTTTCATATTTCAACTCAGAAAACATGATAAACGTCGGAGCTTCAAGATGCTGCAGTCATAATAAACAAGCCTGAAGGATTCTGGGAAATAAGGCAGCGAGGTTCAGGAGGGCGAGCCGAGCGTCCGACGCCTCTGACCTAAACGCACCGACCCGACCCGGCAGAACCTCCCCCGGCGTCATGGCTGAGGCTTCCTGTCAGCTCAGAGGGGGACGAAGGCAGCATCATCATCAGTTCATCTGTGCAAAACCGGCCACTCGGAACCGGCCCACTCTACATTCACTCTGACCCAGACGGCGCTGAGGAAAGGCAGAAACTGACCAGAACCGGGTTCTGGTCAGGGAGGACAGCTCGTGTCCCTGAAGGCAGAAATGCAGGAAACAGAAGTAAGGCATGGCTGGCGCTGAACTGCAGTGTGTGTGTGTGTGTGTGAGTGTGTGAGTGTGTGTGTGTGTTCTTAAACCAGCTAATAAATACAAACATGGAGGAGAAACTGGTGACAGAACCAGCAGTCACCTTCTTCCCCTGATCTGAATCAGACTCAACCAGAAAGCAGGAAGAAAACTTGTCCCGTCATTTCCACCGACTCCGATTGTCTGCAGCTAAGTCAGAACAACGAGCCGTGTAGAAACACCATGTCTGTCTGTGTGTGTGTGTGTGTGTGTGTGTGTGTGTGTGTGTGTGTGTGTGAGAGAGAGAGAGAGAGAGAGATGTTACACATGAAGCTGCTATGTCGTTTTGAACAGGAACTTTGGCTTAAACACTTGTTAGTGTAGTACATGACAGCAGCCAGTAGGGGGCAGTGTGACGCATCGCTCCAGTTGAATCAGTTCAGATTCTGAAGGTTGAGGACGCGACGACAGGCGGGTGGAGGTCTGGGCCCGAGGTCACCGTGGGGTCATGGGCCGGTCCTCACAGAGCGGTGCTCTCGGTGTCCAGGTCGCAGGAGGAAGAGGAGCTGGCGGCGGCCGCGGGCTGCTGGTCCACGCTGAGCTCGGCTACGGAAGCCCGACCGGGTCTCTTCAAAGACATCAGCGGCTCTAAACGACACAGAACAGGTGATGATGATGATGATGATGATGAAGAGCTGTGCTCAGATGTTCACCTAACTATTAAACATCAATGGAGGGAAATGTTTAGATTCATTACATAGATTTGAACTCTTTTTATTATTTTTACATATTAATATTCTGGCTGAAACCAGAGTAAAGCTACAACGAGCTGCTCCTGTTTCCGAGCGATCTGATTGGACGCCCGAACTCACTGTTGTGCTAACTAGCTGATAGGCTAGCGTTAGCCGCTACAGGCTAACGCTAATCTTAGCCTCCACTGTCCAGATTCCTAAAGAATCTGAGGAACTCTGGGAATGTGATGAATCATCTCTGATGTTCAGGTCTGGATCACATAACTGTCCAAACATCAAACAAATGCAAAGTTTGAAAACTGACATTTAATCCGACCTCAAGTATCTGTCTGAACCAGTTTGTCCAGAATCCGGCGGCAGACTGACCGGGACAGAGGGACCGGGACTGACTGACCGGGACAGAGGGACCGACATGAGCTTCAGCTCTGGATGTTTCCGGGATGCGAACACGGAGCAAATTCTTCCTGCTGCTCTGACAGCTGACCAGCAGGGGGCAGAGTTCAGCTCAGTGGGGAAGCGTTACTAAACACATGCTAACTAGCACCAGGCTACATTGCAGACCAGCAGGTTTTCCATCAACAGTGCGAACAGAATGGTTCTCTATTGATCTGGTGACGTCAGGATCCCGATCGTATCTGTGGTCGTAAAATTCACAGATTTCCAAATCAGAAGCAGAAAGTCTTGCTTGGATCAAAGCTTGTGCAAAACCATCAACTTTCATAGGATCAACAAGAACAAAGCAGTTTGTGCTGGTGTGAGTTATTGATTTGATTTCTTTATGTCTGAATTAAAGAAAATCAATAACAAACATCCATCATGAACATCTGTTAGCTCAGTGCAGCAGGACTGACACTGATCCTGTACCTTGACGCCTGTCTGCTACAGCCTGACATTAGCTAAACACATCAACATGCAACGTGTATCTCACATGCAGTAAAGATTAGATTTTAGTAGGAAAGGCTTTTGACTAAACTGTTGCTCCTGTTAGCCTCTCTGTTAGCGCTGAGTCCAGCGCATCAGGCTGAGGCACAAAGCAAACATTAGACAACAAACCACAGGAATCAGCCACTGATTTCACAAGTGACCTAGAAAACCATGAAGCCCGACTGATGCAGCCTGGCAGGAACGATGAGCATCAGAGATCAGGAACGATAAGCATCAGAGATCAGGAACGATAAGCATCAGAGATCAGGAACGATAAGCATCAGAGATCAGGAACGATGAGCATCAGAGATCAGGAACGATACGCATCAGAGATCAGGAACGATACGCATCAGAGATCAGGAACGATACGCATCAGAGATCAGGAACGATACGCATCAGAGATCAGGAACGATACGCATCAGAGATCAGGAACGATACGCATCAGAGATCAGGAACGATACGCATCAGAGATCAGGAACGATAAGAATCAGCGATCAGGAACGATACGCATCAGAGATCAGGAACGATACGCATCAGAGATCAGGAACGATGAGCATCAGAGATCAGGAACGATACGCATCAGAGATCAGGAACGATGAGCATCAGAGATCAGGAACGATACGCATCAGAGATCAGGAACGATACGCATCAGAGATCAGGAACGATAAGCATCAGAGATCCGGAACGATACGCATCAGAGATCAGGAACGATACGCATCAGAGATCAGGAACGATACGCATCAGAGATCAGGAACGATACGCATCAGAGATCAGGAACGATACGCATCAGAGATCAGGAACGATAAGCATCAGAGATCAGGAACGATGAGCATCAGAGATCAGGAACGATACGCATCAGAGATCAGGAACGATAAGCATCAGAGATCAGGAACGATAAGCATCAGAGATCAGGAACGATATGCATCAGAGATCAGGAACGATATGCATCAGAGATCAGGAACGATGAGCATCAGAGATCAGGAACGATACGCATCAGAGATCAGGAACGATAAACATCAGAGATCAGGAACGATGAGCATCAGAGATCAGGAACGATGAGCATCAGAGATCAGGAACGATGAGCATCAGAGATCAGGAACGATGAGCATCAGAGATCAGGAACGATAAGCATCAGAGATCAGGAACGATACGCATCAGAGATCAGGAACGATACGCATCAGAGATCAGGAACGATACGCATCAGAGATCAGGAACGATACGCATCAGAGATCAGGAACGATACGCATCAGAGATCAGGAACGATACGCATCAGAGATCAGGAACGATACGCATCAGAGATCAGGAACGATGAGCATCAGAGATCAGGAACGATACGCATCAGAGATCAGGAACGATACGCATCAGAGATCAGGAACGATACGCATCAGAGATCAGGAACGATAAGCATCAGAGATCAGGAACGATGAGCATCAGAGATCAGGAACGATGAGCATCAGAGATCAGGAACGATAAGCATCAGAGATCAGGAACGATACGCATCAGAGATCAGGAACGATACGCATCAGAGATCAGGAACGATACGCATCAGAGATCAGGAACGAAGAGCATCAGAGATCAGGAACGATACGCATCAGAGATCAGGAACGATGAGCATCAGAGATCAGGAACGATACGCATCAGAGATCAGGAACGATAAGCATCAGAGATCCGGAACGATACGCATCAGAGATCAGGAACGATACGCATCAGAGATCAGGAACGATACGCATCAGAGATCAGGAACGATACGCATCAGAGATCAGGAACGATACGCATCAGAGATCAGGAACGATAAGCATCAGAGATCAGGAACGATGAGCATCAGAGATCAGGAACGATACGCATCAGAGATCAGGAACGATAAGCATCAGAGATCAGGAACGATAAGCATCAGAGATCAGGAACGATGAGCATCAGAGATCAGGAACGATACGCATCAGAGATCAGGAACGATACGCATCAGAGATCAGGAACGATAAGCATCAGAGATCAGGAACGATGAGCATCAGAGATCAGGAACGATGAGCATCAGAGATCAGGAACGATGAGCATCAGAGATCAGGAACGATGAGCATCAGAGATCAGGAACGATACGCATCAGAGATCAGGAACGATACGCATCAGAGATCAGGAACGATACGCATCAGAGATCAGGAACGATGAGCATCAGAGATCAGGAACGATACGCATCAGAGATCAGGAACGATGAGCATCAGAGATCAGGAACGATACGCATCAGAGATCAGGAACGATACGCATCAGAGATCAGGAACGATACGCATCAGAGATCAGGAACGATGAGCATCAGAGATCAGGAACGATGAGCATCAGAGATCAGGAACGATACGCATCAGAGATCAGGAACGATACGCATCAGAGATCAGGAACGATACGCATCAGAGATCAGGAACGATACGCATCAGAGATCAGGAACGATGAGCATCAGAGATCCGGAACGATGAGCATCAGAGATCAGGAACGATACGCATCAGAGATCAGGAACGATACGCATCAGAGATCAGGAACGATACGCATCAGAGATCAGGAACAGTAAGCATCAGAGATCAGGAACGATACGCATCAGAGATCAGGAACGATACGCATCAGAGATCAGGAACGATACGCATCAGAGATGAGGAACGATACGCATCAGAGATCCGGAACGATACGCATCAGAGATCAGGAACGATACGCATCAGAGATGAGGAACGATACGCATCAGAGATCAGGAACGATGAGCATCAGAGATCAGGAACGATACGCATCAGAGATCAGGAACGATAAGCAGAGATCAGGAACGATACGCATCAGAGATCAGGAACGATACGCATCAGAGATCAGGAACGATACGCATCAGAGATCAGGAACGATAAGCATCAGAGATCAGGAACGATACGCATCAGAGATCAGGAATGATGAGCATCAGAGATCTTGTCCACAGCTACATTGGTGCTGAGGTTTCTCACTGCAGAAAGCATTTTGCTGTGCATAATGCTGGAGGCATCGCTGCTCAAACGCCTTGATGTCATCCAGATGATGATATGAACCTGTTAGTTCGTCTGTGTTGCTGCAGCTGATATCTGGTGAAAATCCAGCAGAAATGATGCATCGGTCCAAGACGCCATGTTTCCATAGAAACAGTCTTTGTTTGAGGGACTTGCTGCCAGGTGGGCGGAGCTTAGTGAGGCCCATAAAGCTCTGAACTAGAAACAGCTGAACAGAACCGGGTTCAGACGATCCAAACGTTCAGGGACAGATGAATGAATGGATGAATGACCGGGTCGACCCGGCCCGAGGCTCATTGGGTCGACACTGAACGATTCGCTGCCCTGAAATAAATCCCTTTGTGGTTCTGGTTTTGTTGTGTTCAGAACTGGCCCGGCTGGCGGTCCGGTTTGAACGACCCAGTTTCCAGAACTCTGGTGGCTCTGGACATGTGTGACAGAGAAAGACGGTCAGAACCAGAATCTACCAACCTCACTCCCGCTGCTCTGCCCTGTGGAAGCATCAGTAACAGCGTTAGAACCCGGACCCGGCAGGGTTGGACCGGAACCGGGTCTCAGCTGGTACCCACCCGCCGTCTTGCAGACGTCGTTGGTGTCGCTGCTCATGGCGGGGGGCTGCGGCGGCGGCGGCACGCTGGGCCGGTTCCGAGGTTTCGGGACGGGACGCGGCCGTGGGAGCGACCCGAACCCAGACTGGGTCGGGGGCGGGACGGCGTCCTGGCCGGCGGCGGTGGGGGGAAGGAGGGAGGAGTCAGGGGGGGGCGGGGTTCCTGAAGGGGAGGGTTCTGGTTCTGGGCAGGGCGGGTCGGTCCAGGGCCCCGGAGCGGGAGGCGCCGGCGGCGGGTGGTTGGGGGCGTGGAGGGGGGGCTGGTTTGGAGTGGCGACGGGGCGCGGCGCAGGGCGGCGGCGAGGCGGGGCCGCAGGACGGCTTGGGAGGGGGCGGAGCCTGCTTCTTGGTACCTGGAGGACAGATGGACAGGTTCTGATCGGATAACCAGGTCACTGAAACCCAATTTACTAAAAGCCGTCACAATATGATGCTTGATATCAGTTCACGCATTCTGACTGGTTAGAGACCCGGTTCTGACCCGGTTCTGACCCGGTGCCGTGTTTATTCCTGTTTAACTCCACAAAGTGAAAAATCCTGAAGCTGCTGCTGCCCCAGCTGGTTGTTGCGAGGTCAGACTGCAGTGACTCACCTCGCCGCATCATGTGAGGACTGGGCCCCACGGATCCGGTCCCAGTCGGCTCGCCGCCTCCAGAACCGTCCCTCTGAGGAACCGGCGTGGGCGCCGCTGCAGCGCCGTCCCGCAGCTTCAGGCTGCTGGACAGAAACCAGAACAGAGTTGATCAGCAGGAGGTTCCGGTCCAAAACCAGCAGGCATCGTGTTCTGGACACTGTGGGTCAGAACCCGGGCTGAGCATCAGCTGCTGCTGTTCAACTCCAGCCGTCACATTTTATCTGATCCAAACAAACGATTCTCCCTGAACACAACGCGGCGTCAGTGAAAGACGGTGGCGGCAGCATCATGCTGTGGGAGGAAGGTCAGAGGTCACGGACGGAGCCAAACCCAGAAGAATCCTGGAGGAAAACCTGTGTGTGGGCTGGAGGTTCACCTTAAAGAGTGGCCTAGTCAAAGAGCAGAGCTGCTGGAAGCTGAGACTCATTATTTTACATTGGAGTCGACACTAAAATATTAATATTAATGATAGTGATGCTGTTGTGCCTCCGTCCTCCACCAGGGGGACGGCCTCCAGGCTGCAGCAGCAGCTCATCCAACATGTCTCCTTTAAACTCATCAAAACAGGAACTTATCCAGATTACTGTAATCTGATTACTGGACTGGATCCAGTGAGGTGTTGGATTACCAGAACAGCTGCTGCAGCAGCAGCTGCAGCAGCACAACTTACCTCAGCTCCTCTGTGTTCTGGATCAGCAGCTGCTGTGCTGCTGCCAGAGCAGCCAGATCCTGGACCAGGCTGAGTTGGGGCCATCTAGCCCCGACCCCCCCCACTGGAGGCGGGGTGTCAACCTGGGGGGCCTGGAGGCCATGAGGGACCCCAGGGTCCAGGATCGGGGCCTCTACGGGGGGCAGGGGAGGCTGGAAGGCAGGTGAGGTGTGCTGCTTTCTACCTAAGGTGCTACTGCCTCTACGGAGGGCGGGGTCCGACTGCTTGTTAGAGCTGGGGGGGGCAGGAGGACAAAACAGCATAGATTTACCCCAACGGCCCCTTCAGGTGGAAGAAATGCTGTTTATAAAGGAAATGAAATTGCGCCTCTGTCTCTTTAAATTTCCTGCCCTTTCTCAAACTCCGCCCCCAGGAAGTCATCCCAACATGGCTCCTCTATTAACCCTTTAACGTTTTTACTAGCACTGCTCTGAGCAGCTGCTCCTGTAATGAGCTCAGCTGCTTGCTAATTGCTGCTTGCTAATTGCTGCTGGCTAGTCTGAAGGAGCTGAAGCATGAAGGCGGGGCTAGGTGCACCCAGGTGTTCTATCAGCTGAATGGTTACCATGGAGCCTAAAGGATTCCTAACATGAAAGAATCAAAGCAGCACTGCAGGGAAAACATGATTTTATGATACCGGCCCTTTAAGAGGAAGAACTGAAGTCAGAATAAACTCCAGCAGGCGGATCAGAGGAGGAGGAGCTAAGGCTTCCTGGGGGCGGAGCTTAGGGTGATTACTTGTCTTTCCGCGCGGCGTCAGCGTCTGTTCCCTGCATGCTGCTCCTCTTCCTCTCCATGCTGCACTCGCCGTCCGGCGGGCTGCTGTGATTGGACGCTGCCGGCGGCGGCATCACAAACATGCCGGAAACATTAAACTCCACGTCTGGACAGGAAGCAGACCGTTACTATCATGTCCAGCATTCAGCCAGGAACAGGAAGTTCTAAAGCTCCACTTCCTGCTCCAGAGTGATGAAGGGCCAGAACCACAGCCGACCCAAAGGTCCGGTCCGGCCAGAACCTACCCTCAGGGAAGAACCAGTCAGCGTGCTGGATGATGGCTCTAAGTGGCCACCACATGCACCGAGGTCGCTGCCGCCATCTCCGCCAGGCGCCTGCAGCGAGACGAGAGCAGAGATGAGACCCAGACATGACTAGCCGATGACCGAGCGCCTGCTCCGCCTCCTACCCTTCGGTCTTGGCCCACAGCAGGTTGGGTCCCAGGACGATGGCCATGTTGCTCGGTGTCATTTTGTTGGTCTCGCTGTCCTGAGCCAGTCTAGCTAAGAACTTCACCAGGTACCTGCAGGGAGTCGCAGGAGACGGACGCTGAAACCTGAAACGCGGTGCGAATGAAAGGCTGAGCGGACTGACCTCAGGTTGTTCCTGTTTGTTCTTTGGTAGTTTATCACAGACCAGCCAGAGCGCCTGCAGCCGTTTATCTGGGTCTGAAACACTGGAACCAGAGGAACAGAGTGAGCCGTCAGCTTCAGGCGCCGGACAGACATCCTCCATGTCTGCAGGGAGCTGGGCGCCTTGCCTGGAGGCCTGGATCCACTCGTCATAAAGCTGGGAGGTCATCAGAGGGTCAGGCAGCTCCCGCAGGTACGACTTCAGAGCGCCTGGTTAAAGACACAGAAACAATCCACTGCACAAAGGCACAAAGGTCAACTGGCAGGAGAAAAACTACCCAGAAAACAACTGGACATTGATGCCCTTCATAGAGAAGTTTGGTTATTTTTGATAAGCTTGTGTCCAAAACCATTTGGGATCCTGAAGCAGGACTACTGATTAGGACTGGTTGATGTTTTAAGGATCTGTAACGATTCAGCTGAACTGAAATGGACCCATTTATTCAGTTTTTGACATGTTTTGAAATGCTAATGCTATTAGGATTCTTAATGACACTCCTATAATTCATTGGCTTACCAGATTTCAATGTATTTTTCAGTGGATTTACATATGATTGACCAAACTAATTTGTAATTAATGTTTGGTCAATCATTAATTATGATTAATGAAGTGTTTGAACTCCTGGAAGCTCAACCTCCAGTCTCAGCTCTGACAATTTTTCCAACAGGATATTCCCTATTGAGCTACAGCCATCTTCCCACAGCATGATACTGCCACCACCCTGCCTCACTGGGGGTGATGGTGAGTTAGAGTTAGCTAGCACTCAACATTTCAGTCTGTCCAACGCTGTTTTCTAACCTGAGTTTATGACTGAATAAAGGTGAAAAAGTTCTAGGGTGTGAATACTTTGGGCGGCAACTGCAGTGCCCCGCTATGAGCGGATTGGACCGTACCAGCGACAGCATGGGGGTCCGAGTAGAACTCCTCCAGCTGGGATGTGGAGCAGTCCAGCGCCGCCTTCAGCTTCTTCAACTTGGAGGCTCCAGCTGCAATCCTGAACAGACCCTGGAACGTACAATCAGGTAGAAATCTGAGTTAAAACACAGAGAAACTGCAAAAACAGACGTGTACAGAGAGCGTACTAGCAGAGGGCGTGCTAGCAGAGGGCTAGTACCCCCTCTGCTAGCACCCCCTCTGCTAGAAACCCCTCTGCTAGTACCCCCTCAACGCCCTGGTTGAGCTTCCAGGGCATACTAGCAGAGGGGTTGCTAGCAGAGGGGTTGCTAGCAGAGGGGTACTAGCAGAGGGTACTAGCAGAGGGGGTACTAGCAGAGGGGTTGCTAGCAGAGGGGGTACTAGCAGAGGGTACTAGCAGAGGGGTTGCTAGCAGAGGGGTTGCTAGCAGAGGGGGTACTAGCAGAGGGGGTACTAGCAGAGGGGTACTAGCAGAGGGGTTGCTAGCAGAGGGGTTACTAGCAGAGGGGTTGCTAGCAGAGGGGTTGCTAGCAGAGGGGGTACTAGCAGAGGGGTTGCTAGCAGAGGGGGTGCTAGCAGAGGGGGTACTAGCAGAGGGGTGCTAGCAGAGGGGGTACTAGCAGAGGGGTTGCTAGCAGAAGGGGTACTAGCAGAGGGGGTACTAGCAGAGGGGTTGCTAGCAGAGGGGGTGCTAGCAGAGGGGTTGCTAGCAGAGGGGGTATTAGCAGAGGGCGTGCTAGCAGAGGGGTTGCTAGCAGAGGGGTGCTAGCAGAGGGGGTGCTAGCAGAGGGCGTGCTAGCAGAGGTGGTACTAGCAGAGGGGTTGCTAGCAGAGGGGGTGCTAGCAGAGGGTACTAGCAGAGGGGGTATTAGCAGAGGGGGTACTAGCAGAGGGGTTGCTAGCAGAGGGGGTGCTAGCAGAGGGGGTATTAGCAGAGGGCGTGCTAGCAGAGGGCGTGCTAGCAGAGGGGTTGCTAGCAGAGGGGGTACTAGCAGAGGGGGTACTAGCAGAGGGCGTGCTAGCAGAGGGCGTGCTAGCAGAGGGCGTGCTAGCAGAGGGGGTATTAGCAGAGGGGGTATTAGCAGAGGGCGTGCTAGCAGAGGGCGTGCTAGCAGAGGGGTTGCTAGCAGAGGGGGTACTAGCAGAGGGGGTATTAGCAGAGGGCGTGCTAGCAGAGGGCGTGCTAGCAGAGGGCGTGCTAGCAGAGGGCGTGCTAGCAGAGGGCGTGCTAGCCTGTCCTCACCTCCTCTTTCATGCCGGTCTCCAGCAGCATCATAACGCAGGCCTCCATTGGCACGGCTATCTCTCTGCCGCTCCTCTTCAGGTGATCGTCCAGAGCCGTTCCAAACGCCGGTTTCTCCGTCCAGGAGTCTGAGCCGGAAAAGGAGACAGTAGAGGGAATGGAGATCATTTCTTTTCTTTACTATAATAGTTCATGTAAGAACCAGAAGAAATCCTGAATAAACTCGTATCTGCTGCGTCTTAACAAAAAAAAATCAGTTAGAAATCTACTTCAAATACACCAAACATCAGATTATTTAACTCCCTAATTGCTTCATCACGGTGGTTTCACACTGCAGATATTGTATAAAGCAACACCTTTAACTGAGATGCATCTTTCCATCATGGCCGTTTTGGGTTTGGTTTGTTTCTCTTCTTACTAATCTGCTTTTGTTTTAAGTGCTTTGGAAATAAATGGGGGAAAAATTGATCTTCCATTTAGAGACTTCACTTCATTTACGCTTCCGTCCCCATGGTAACTCCCCTGACATGAAGTGCAGAGATCATCCAATCTCTTCCGTATCCTCTCTGGCTGCCATATTGTTATGTCTTCTTATTGCCGTTTACCACCGTCAGTCTTCACTTGGACAGCTAGCATTAGCGTTAGCTGCTAAGCTCCTCCCCCTGCCGGGTACTGTGGTCATTTAAAAGCTTTTGAAATGTTCCTCCGTCTGCCTCTGTGGGACTAAGTCAGAAGGAAAATGTCTAGCAGGAGTTTGAGCATCGGACTGTGGGTCAAAGGTCGTTGTTGATACATGTTTACCGTCCAAAACTCTCCTAAACATTTCGTCCAATCAGCAGAGAAGTCAGAGTCAATAGTGATCAAAGACAGCGAGAAGGGAGGGCGGCTAGAAAAACCAGGTGTGTATGTGTGTGTGTGTGTGTTTGTGTATGCGTGTGTGTTTGTGTATGTGCGTGTGTGTTTGTGTATGTGCGTGTGTGTGTGTGTATGTGTGTGTGTGTGGAGGCTGGGCTGGTGAAGGCCACATGTTTGGTCCTGAGAGAAAACAGGTCAAACAGAAAACAACCAGGGCTGCAGAGCAAAGAAATAAAGCTAGATGAAATCTTCAGAGGACGACTCAAGTTTCACTAAATATGGCGAACAGGAAGTGAACAGATGAGCCGTTTGGGGTTTCCTGCAGGTTTGTACCTTCCTGTGCCTGGATGGCTGGCAGAACGCTCTCCAGCACAGACAAAGACTTCCTGTGGTAATCAGCCTGAGCCTCCAGGAGCTGCACTCACACACACACACACACACACACACACACACACACACACACACACACACACACACACACACACACACACACACACACACACACACACACACACACACACACACACAGAGGAGGGAGGGATCAGCTGATGCACAAACACCATGGATCAATAAGCTGCTGGGCCTCCTGGCGGCTCTGCAGACATGAACTCACCGTGATGAAGTAGCGAGCGTAGTCGCCTTCTTTAGAGAAGAAGCTGTACATGTCTGCAGCCAGCTGGTCCTGTTCCACAAACCGATAATCACAAGACAACAACGACTCGTCATTAACTACAGAATAAAGACTAAAACAGGACATTTACTGAAACACAGCCATAATGAAGCCAAACTATACAAAATATCAAAACACTGAGCATGTAAAATAAGAACATTATTAGTCTGTCAATCTGTTCTAACTCCTCTGGTTCAGTTTCAGCTTCACATCCTGGAAGATTTATCACCCTAATTAATCAGGTAATCAATAATAATCCCCAGATCTTCCATACTCTGCATTTCTGTTCAGCTTTTCATGTGTGAAGGATTTTTAACTGCAGATGATCAAACTTTCACTAAAGCAATGAAAAGTTAGTTACTTTAAGAAAAGAAAATGTTTATTTTCTTACTTTATTTGCATCTTTCAATAAACTTCTAATCAGTGGCGGAGTCATTACCATTTCCACTGGAAATGGTCATTTTAAAATATAATACTTATGAGATCGGGAAAGATTTGCCAGGAAAACTGTAATTTCCGGCTGTCCCTGAAGGCAGCCCGATGCCCGACGCTGTTCATTGGTTAAACTGACATGTTGGTTCCTGCTTGATCCAAAACACATCAACGGCTTTAGAGTTACAGCGTCAGGAGTTCTGCAGGTATTTCCAACATTTTACGCTCAGCAGTAACCGCTGTTACCTTCCTAATGAGAGGCGGCTCTTGTCATACATTTCTAAAAAGAAAACAAATGGTTGTGTACCGCTGCATAGTGCCTCGTTTATTATATTAGCCATGCTAGTGCTGATAGATCGTGTTTTAGACAGATTCTTTTAACATGTTTTAGTGACATGCTGCCCTCTAATGTTTTATATCTCCCAGCTCTTGCTTGAAATGTGTGGTAAGAATATGAGAAAAACCATTAAGTTTTATAATGACTGAAATGTAAGTAGGCTATGTCATATGAAAGCTTTGAATTATGACCTCACTAGTTATATTAATTAATTTTGAACAAAAGGAAACAAATATTTTTTCCTTTGGTTCATCATTTATATATGGACCCTCTGATAAAGCCTTGCTCACCCTTTGGCCCCCATTGGAAAAAAGTCGAGCTCCGCCACTGCATCTAATATTCAGAGGTTAAATGAAAATTCTGCAGAATGTGGCTTTAATCTGAATGTCAAAATAATCACCAGAATAATATTTACTGAAAATTGTTATTTGCGGCCCGAAATATTATGATTTTAAAAACATCATAATAGAATAAAATATGTAAAAAAAACAAACTATGTTGCTGTAAATTACATCATTGGAAACGCTGCAACCTGCTGCACTGGTTTCAACCCAGTTAGTTTACTGCTGCCTGCATGCCAGTGAGCAAGGCAACATCATGACGGAGTTATGATGGAGTTATGAGGGAGTTATGATGGAGTTATGAGGGAGTTATGAAGGAATTATGAGGGAGTTATGAAGGAGTTATGATGGAGTTATGAAGGAGTTATGAAGGAATTATGAGGGAGTTATGAAGGAGTTATGAAGGAGTTATGAGGGAGTTATGAAGGAGTTATGAAGGAGTTATGATGGAGTTATGAAGGAGTTATGAGGGAGTTATGAAGAAGTTATGAGGGAGTTATGAGGGAGTTATGAAGGAGTTATGATGGAGTTATGAAGGAGTTATGAAGGAGTTGTGAGGGAGTTATGAAGGAGTTATGAGGGAGTTATGAGGGAGTTATGAAGGAGTTATGAAGGAGTTATGAGGGAGTTATGATGGAGTTATGAAGGAGTTGTGAGGGAGTTATGAAGGAGTTATGAGGGAGTTATGATGGAGTTATGAAGGAGTTGTGAGGGAGTTATGAGGGAGTTGTGAGGGAGTTATGAAGGAGTTATGAAGGAGTTATGATGGAGTTATGAAGGAGTTATGAGGGAGTTATGAAGGAGTTATGAGGGAGTTATGAAGGAGTTGTGAAGGAGTTATGAAGGAGTTGTGAAGGAGTTATGAGGGAGTTATGAGGGAGTTATGAAGGAGTTATGAGGGAGTTATGAAGGAGTTATGAGGGAGTTATGAAGGAGTTATGAGGGAGTTATGAGGGAGTTATGAAGGAGTTATGAAGGAGTTATGAGGGAGTTATGAAGGAGTTATGAGGGAGTTATGAGGGAGTTATGAAGGAGTTATGAGGGAGTTATGAAGGAGTTATGAAGGAGTTATGAGGGAGTTATGAGGGAGTTATGAAGGAGTTATGAGGGAGTTGTGAGGGAGAAATGTCTGATATGTTTCA